GGCGGGGGCTGAGAGACATAGTGCCAGCCAGGCGGCCGGCGCCGCCGCCGCCCAGGGCCACAGCGCTCGACGCTTTCAGGTCGAAAGTCAAGGGGGTCGCGGCGGAGCTCGCGGCTGAGTACTGCAGGGCTGCGGCCGCCGACGGCGGCGGTGGGCGCTGTGAGGCGGGCACCGTGGGGCCAGGCGAGGCGGCGGCCGGGGACCCCCGAGAGGCTGTGGCTTTCGAGCTGAACCGCAGCGGCAGGTGGGCGCAGATGCGTTCGCAGCTGCGGAGCAGCTGCCGCCTTTGAGATAGATAGATATATAAGTTACTCATGCCATAGGATCACTGCCATCGGCCCCGCGCTCATTAGAGCACTCTTTGAGCACTGGCTTACCTGTGCGCCTCAGCCTGCCCCTGTCTTATGCAGCAGGGGGAGGGGGGTATCTGTCATGTCATGGCAGCCCGGGGGTCCCCCGCTGGAATACGGGTCAGCTAGGAGCCGTGCGGTGCGGCGCCGCACACACCGCAGTTTCGAGCCTGTCCCGTGCTCATCCGAAGCATGCGATGGAATTGCAAGTGATCATCCTGTACGGCATGTTCAACGTCTTGTCCGTCCCCCGTGTCGGCGTGCGCTTGGCAGGTACCTGGCTCTCAAGGCGTCACTCAAATCAGCAGTCATGGCCCTGGCCCGCGAGCGCGCCGCCGCCGCCGCCCCTCCCGCCGCCGCCGCCACAGCCACCGCCACAGCCGCAGGCGCCACCGCGCGCGCCGCCGGCCTCGGCGGCGCGCGCGCGAAGGGGCCGCCGGGCACCGCTGCTGGGCGGCAGCAGGGGCAAGCCGCAGGCGGCGGGGAGGGGGATGCAGCGGCGCAAGCGCTGCACAATGAACTGTACTGCCTTCTGGCGGACGAGACGCGCGCCGCGCTCGCGGCGCTGGCGACCCCTCTGGATGCGGCCGCTCACGCCTCATGCTCATCCCTAGACTCGTCCGCCCAACAAGCAAACGGCGAGGCGGCGCGAGCGGCGGCCAGGACTGGAGGCGAGGGGGATGGGGACGGAGGGGCGGCGTCGCTGGCTGAGCTGGCGGAAGACGCAGAGGCGGAAGGCGATGCGGCACGCGCGCACGCACTGCATCAGCAGAGGGTCGCGACGGCGGCCGGCGGCCGGGAGGAGGTTCAGGTGCGACGGATCGGGCCGGGTTTTGAGAGAGGGGCGGCGGGGTGTGGGCGTGCTCGCGGCGCTGCCGCTGGATGGGCGACGCAGACACAGAGAGGCGTTTGCATTTGGCAGACTGCTTCAGATTGCGGAACCGCAGCAGGTTGATTTTTGCACATTCTTGTGGGCAGTCTAAGCCGGTGTGAGCAGCTCAAATCAAGTTGCCAGCACCGCACAGACGCTTCAATCTGACGTCATGCTGATGCCATGCTGATGTCATCGTGCCGCACCCGCCCCGCCCCCAGGCGCTCTGCGACTACGGCCGCTTCTGCGCTCGGGCCGGCGCGGCCACGCGCGCCGAGGAGTGCTTCCGCCGCGTGCTTGAGGCGGACGCCGCCCACGCCGGCGCCGCGGCGGCGCTGCTGTGCCTGCAGCTGCACCTCGCGCGGCAGGAGGCGCGCGGCGGCAGCACTGATGGCGGCGGCGGCGGCCACGGCTGCGCGGCCGCGGCGGCGCGGCTGTTTGAGGCAGCGGAGGTGTTAGGGCACGCACTCCAGGACGGCGCCGCGGCGGCAGCAGCGGCAGCAGCTGCGGGAGGGGCGACGGCAGCTGCAGGAAGAGGGGCAGCGGCAGGGGCGCGGCAAGGCGGCGGTGGCGGCGGCGGCGGGAGCGCCCTTGCTTGGGCGCTGCTGTCGCTGGTGTACAGTGAGCAGGGTGAGCAGGCGTCTGTTGGGACTAGATGCGCAGGCTGCAGCATGCACGCCCTGGTGCCCACAGAATGCACACTTGCAAGCTCCTTGCTTCTGTTTGGCTGGGCTGCTGTCGTCTGCTGCAGTAGCGGCTTCGTTTGCTGGCCCATCGACCTCGCCCGGTTGTATTTGCAGGGAAGCCCAAGGAGCAGCAGGCGCGCAGCTGCCACCAGGAGGTGGTGCGGCTCTCAAAGGAGGCGCTCGCGTCCCTGCGGCCGCCGGGGCAGAGTCAAAATCCTGAGCAGCAGCAGCAGCAGCAGCAGCAGGCGCCCGTGAGTAGCAGCGATAACACCCCCTCCGCCCCGCCGTCTCAACAGCGGGCGGCCGACGGCACGCAGCAAGGGCAGCAGCCGCCGCCGCCATCCATGGGCAACGGCCCGGCTGGGCCTGGGGATGTTGCGGCAGCGAGCGGCGGCTGCGAAGCGGCCGTAAAGGAGGGCGCGGGCGGCGACGCCGTTTTGAGCGGCTACCTGGAAGCTGCCGAGCTGCTGCTCGGGCTGGGCATGGGGGCGCTCGCGGACGCGGCGCTGCAGCTTGGGGCGGGTGCGTGCATTCGTCATTCGATGCTGCCATTTGTTGTCACTTGCTGCTTGTTTCACTGGTGTCAAGCAGAACTTTGACTGCTCGCAGCATTGATGCTAAGACCGACACTCGCGTGGCCACAAGCTTATGTGCGCCGCAACGCCCCCTGACTGATCTGGCCTAGCGGTAACGAACATGCGGCGCCGCCCTGTTTCGCGTCCCCTTGCGCAGGCCTGAAAGACGGGGCGGCGCGCCTGTGGAAGCGCACCGCGCTCGCCGGCGCCCGCGCCGCGCTGCTGCTGGGCGACGGCCCCAGGGCGCTCTCGCTGCTGCGGGGCCTGCAGGTGGCGATGGCAGAGGCGGGGGACGACGGCGTGTGCGCGCTGGTGGCCACGGGGGACGCGCATTACGAGGTGGGCAGGGGCGTGGGGGCGTGACGTGTGCTTTGGGTGTATGTGGTGAGGGAGTGAGGGATGTCGGAAGCCCCTACGCAGCTTGACGCTGAGCTGTTGGTTGGCTCGGCCGCGCGTGGGTCGATCCAGCATCCTTGCGGCTGTTTCGGAGATCGCAGCCGGAATAGCTACGGCCTCCAAGAAGCGTGGTGGGCGCAAGTGCGGGATAGGGGCAAACGGACAGAATCCCTGAGAAGACTGGAAACCGCCACCTCGGGTGATTTCCCCCACCCACCCATCCATGACACACCAAAATCCCCACCTAGGGCGGCAACTTCACTCTGGCCAAGCAGAGCTACCGCCGCGCCGCGTCGCGTGCCCCCGGCGCCTGCCCGCCCTGCGCGCTCGCGCGCCTGGCCGACTGCTTCCTGCGCAGCGGGGACGCCGCGTACGCCGCCGACACGTTCGAGCTCGCCGCCGCGGCGCGCCCGGCGGCTGCGGCGTGGCTGGGCGCGGCGGCGGCGCGCGCGCGGCTGCGGGACTACGAGGCGGCGGACGCGGCGCTCGCGCGAGCCAGCAGGCGGGACCCGAGGCACCCTGGTGTGTGGGGGCGGCTGGCGCTGCTGGCGCTGGAGCAGGGGCGCGAGGACGAGGCTGGGCAGGTGCGTTGTTTCCTTGATCCTGCATAATCACCGGATGCGTGCTTTGGGTGCGGGGTTGACCCGCGCCAGGGCTGAAGCCAGAGCTGCTTATTGCAAGGGCCAGACGCATGCGGATCTCTGCCGTAAATCGTCCCGTGTCTTCTGCTATTCTCAGCCCTGAGGGCCGGCGCGTCGCTTCGCAGCGCTCGGGCCTCCTGGCCGCGCACGGGACACCGCTGACCCTGCGCCCGCCCC